TCAACATTCTTAAACATATAAATATTCTGAAAAATAAAAAAAATTTACACTCCCAAGAAACTTTAGAAACTCGAGAAATTCAAAAATCCTCAGAAATAAACCCCGGAATTAAAAAAAAAAAAAAACTCAAGTAACTCAAGAAACCCAAGAAATTCAACAAATCCGAGGAATTCAAAAATTTAGGAAATCCAAGATTCCGAAGATTCACAATAAATAAAACCTTAAAAAAACAAAAATTTCAAACAAAATTTTAATATCTCAAGAAACCTAAATTCAAACTTGAGAAATTCAAGAAGCTTCAGAAACTCAGATAACTCAAAAAATCCAAAAAATCTCAAACCCAAGAACCTAAGAAGTCCAAAAAACCCAGGAAATCCAAAAAGACAACGACACTGAAGAAATCCCGACAATTAAAAAACCCAAGAAGCCCAAGAACTCCAAGAGCCCAAAAAATTCCAGAAGTTTGAGGAATGCAAGTAATTCAAGAAATCCAAATTTGTAAAAATTATCAATAATCTAAAGATAATCCAAGAAATGTAAGTAATCTCAAAAATCTAAGAGCTCAAGAAGTATAAGAAAACCCAGTAATCCAGTGGCATAACAAATCCCAAAAAACTTAAAATGAAAAAAACAAGAACCTCAAGAGATCCAAGGAACCCAAGAAATCCGTGAAATACAAGTTTCTAAATATTCTAAAAAATCTAAGAAATTCAAAATTCTTAAACATATAAACATTCTGAAAAATAAAAAATTTTGCACTCCCAAAAAATTTAAGAAACCTCAGAAACTCGGATAATAATAATAATCAAAGAAATCCAAGAAATCTCAGGAACCCGAGAGAGCTTGGAAATAAAAAAAAAACAAGAAAGCCAAAAAATTCGTTTCGAAAATTTAGGAAATCCAAAATTTTGGAGATTACCAATATTCTAAAATCTCAACAAACCCAAGGCCAAAAAACTAAGAAATCCAAAACATTCAAAACTTTTGTAATTACACACGTTCTGAAAAATCAAAAATTTGGAACTCCCAAGAAACTCCAGACGTTTAAGAAACTCAAGAAGCCTCACACACTCAGAAAATTCAAGAATTTCAAAAATCTTAGAAACCCAGGGCCCAAGAAGTTCGAGAAATCTAAGAAATCCAGTGGAACAACGAAACCCAAGGAATCCAAGATTCTGAAAACTATAAATATTCTTAAAAAAAAATCTGGTAGAAAATTTTAATATTTCAAGAAATTCAAGACCAAGAAACTTGAGCAAACCAATAAATCCAAGAATCTTCTTAAAACATAGAAACGTTCTGGAAAATAAAAAATTTTGAACTCCCAAGAAACTTAAGAAATTCGAGAAATTCAAGAAGCCTCAGAAACTCAGATGACCCAAAAAATCTCAGAAGCCTAAGAACCCAAGAAGTACAAGAAACCCAGAAAATCCAAAAAGACAACAAAACTCAAGAAACCCCGAAAATTCAAAAACCCAAGAAGCCCAAGAACTCCAAGAACCGAAGAAATTCGAGGAATCCAAGAAATCAAAATTTCTTAAAATTCCCAACACTCTAGAAATGAAAAATTTGAAATAAAATTTTAAAACTTTTTAGAAACCCAAGGCCAAGAAACTTAAGAAATCTAAGAAATCCAAAAAACCTCAGAAGACGATGAACCCAAGAAGTCCAAGAAACCAAGGAAATCCAAAAAGACAACAAAACTCAAGAAACCCCGAAAATTCAAAAACCCAAGAAGCCCAAGAACTCCAAGAACCGAAGAAATTCGAGGAATCCAAGAAATCAAAATTTCTTAAAATTCCCAACACTCTAGAAATGAAAAATTTGAAATAAAATTTTAAAACTTTTTAGAAACCCAAGGCCAAGAAACTTAAGAAATCTAAGAAATCCAAAAAACCTCAGAAGACGATGAACCCAAGAAGTCCAAGAAACCAAGGAAATCCAAAAAGACAACAAAACTCAAGAAACCCCAAAAAGACAACAAAACTCAAGAAACCCCGAAAATTCAAAAACCCAAGAAGCCCAAGAACTCCAAGAACCGAAGAAATTCGAGGAATCCAAGAAATCAAAATTTCTTAAAATTCCCAACACTCTAGAAATGAAAAATTTGAAATAAAATTTTAAAACTTTTTAGAAACCCAAGGCCAAGAAACTTAAGAAATCTAAGAAATCCAAAAAACCTCAGAAGACGATGAACCCAAGAAGTCCAAGAAACCAAGGAAATCCAAAAAGACAACGAAACTCAAGAAACCCCGAAAATTCAAAAACCCAAGAAGCCCAAGAACTCCAAGAACCGAAGAAATTCGAGGAATCCAAGAAATCAAAATTTCTTAAAATTCCCAACACTCTAGAAATGAAAAATTTGAAATAAAATTTTAAAACTTTTTAGAAACCCAAGGCCAAGAAACTTAAGAAATCTAAGAAATCCAAAAAACCTCAGAAGACGATGAACCCAAGAAGTCCAAGAAACCAAGGAAATCCAAAAAGACGACGAAACTCAAGAAACCCCGAAAATTCAAAAACCCAAGAAGTCCAACAACTCCAAGAACCCAAGAAATTCGAGGAATCCAAGAAATTCAAGGAATCCAAAATTTCTGAAAATCATCAATATTTCAAAAATAAAAAATTTGTAACAAAATTTCAAGAACCCAAAAAATTTGAGAAATTCAAAACATTGAATATATCCAAAATTGCGAAGACTACATACGTTCTAAAAAGAAATATGGAAAAAAATTAATGCCTCAAGAAACCTCAGACCAAGAATTTTACGAAATCTAAGAAATTCAAAATTGTGAAAAATATAAACATTTATCAATTATCTCAAAAATAGTCTTCTAGCTTTTTTTAAATTAAATTTTAACTCTTAAGAAACTTAAAAAAAACTCAAGAAACTTCAGAAACTCAGATAACCCTAGAAATCCAACTGAGAATTTGAAGAAACCCAAAAAATCCACAGAGACAAGGAAATTCAAGAAACGCCGGAAATTCAAATACTCAGATCAAGAAATTCAAAGAACCCAAGGAATTCGAGAAATTCGAGGAATCCAAGAAATTTAAGAAAGCCAAATTTCTAAAAATTATCAATATTCTAAAAATCAAAAATTTGGAACAAAGTTTTAAAACCTCAAGAAACTTAAGCAAACCAAAAAACCTAAGAATTCAAAATTCTTAAACCTATAAACATTCTGAAAAATCCAAAATTTTGTGCCCGCAAGAAACTTTAGAAACTATAGAAATTCAAGAGGCCTCAGAAACTCGGATAATCCAAGAAACCCCGGAAATTAAAGAAAAAATCGAGAAACCCAAGAAATTCGAGAAACCCGGGAAATTCAAAAGATCTAATAATCCAAAATTCTGAAGATTATAAACATCCTAGAAAATTCAAAATCGTGAAAAATATAAACATTTATCAATTATCTTGGAAAGTCGTTTTATAAATAACGTCAAATTTTGAGGACATACTTTGTGTAAAATTGTACGTGTACAGTAAGTTACCATAACTTTCAAAAAAATCTTAACATTTTCTCAAGTTTTTCTTTTTGATTAAACTTTTCCGAACTTACAGTTATTTTTAAGACAAAAATTTAAAAATCTAGTGATTCGCCTTCCACAGAGTTGACAACTTATCGCAGAAAAGTGCTGAAAGTGCGTTATTGTTTTTATTTTTTTAAAAAGTTTGCACTGCATATTTCACAAAAATTATAAAGTAACAAGTAATAAAAGTTTCTAATTTCAGAAATCTATGGACGAAGACAGGATGCCTCGAAAATTATTTTGAATAATGAAAATCCAATCGATTTCAGATAGCCAACACAAGTAGTAAAATAAAATATGGTGAAACCTTGAAAAGTAAAATTTTTTTCTTATTTAAAATTTTACTTTCACTTTTTAAAACCAGTGGCAAAAATTTAAGAACTAATGCGTTTTAGAACCAATTTTAAATTTTCTTCAATTAGCTAAATATGTTCAGACTTCTATTTTTAGAACGATATCTGTGAAAAGTTCTGTCAAAAAATCACGAAAATGTCTGTCGTCTGTCAGCACACTTAACGTAACTGACGCATGAACCTTAGAATGGCGTATTTAATTTTTCTCAAATTTATCACAAGTGATAATTAAGCTCGACTTTAACTGATATATGAATTTTTCATAGATAATAACATTAGTAATGTTTTTAAAATCAATTTCGCCAATTAAGTATTCTTCAACAAACTTCAACACATTTAACTTATACACAGTTACCCAACAATTACATCACGAATTAGTTCCACAACCACAAAATGTTTGCGAATTCAGTACTATCAAGCGTTTAAATTAAATCGTAAAAATAGTTTTTCCATTCATATTTCATTTTTAGAATTAATAAATTACCATTTCAAATTAAATTTTTTCTCCGTATATAGTTTTTATATTGCCTACTTGTGAAAACATTTTAGGCGACGAATTTAAATAAATATACAGCAAAATCTCGATGTCGTGAATTATTCATCAATTGCTTCACAGAATGTGACTGACACTGTTTGAAGAAATTACGCGATCATAGAGTGTGATGTAGGAACATCAAACAATTAATAAATGTTAAGGCGGGCAGTAAAAAATGATTTACCACAGCTGCTTCAAAGTTTTTCAGATACGACCAGATGACAAACGCCATTACTCATCGTTAGTCTCACAAATTAAACGAAAACTATGTTCGAATGAATATATGCAATGACGTCATCGATTTTTTGGAGGGAACGACTATACTTTGACTTACTATCTGTTTTAATTCCAAGATAAATGTTTAATTCGTTACCGCTGTGTACTCATCCTAACATTAAGAACCCCCCAATATCAATAAACCGAAGGTCGAATTTTGTTAACGCAATAAATTCTCCAAATAAAATAAAACCGTGCCGTGACATTGAACAGTCCGACCCAAAAAGGTCCTACCAACAAACAAAACGTGATCACACTACAAATGGTCACTCCTCGTCGCTCCAACGAGCCCCAATACCCACCTAACACTATTCTTTTCCAATTGGAAGGTTGTATGTCTAACTCAGCGTACGTCAAGAGCCGTTCTAAATACACTAACGTAATAATGGCACACTCAGCAGTCAGTTGAGCCGCATTGAACAAAGTCCTCACGAACTTGTAGATCTGCCTATGCTCCGGATTGTGCTTGTCGTAATCATCGGTCACCCCATCCCTCGTCAACGGATGCAGCTTCTCATCGAAGATATCGATCTCCCTCTGAGAGTCCCTGTTCTTAATATGATAATAAATCGCCAAAGCGACGCACTTCACCGTATTCTTCAAATTCGGCTGCGACACCGTGCTATCGTCCAAATAGATCGTCGAGCACGAGCTGCTCTTCTTCAGCGGCCGCAAATCCGCGATCTGGTGCTGGCTCTTCCTCCGGATCATGCCATTCTCGATGGCCGTCTTCGAGCGCTCGATGAAGATGGTCCGCGCCGTGGGGTCCTGCGAGGGGTCGGCGTCGCCGTCGTCGGCCTCGCGCTCGCTGATGTGCTGCAGGTTACTCACGCTCACCTCGCCCTCGTGCAGCGTGTCCTCGATGGGGATGATCACGCGGTGGCTGGGCTGGGGGCTGGAGTACGAGCAGCAGCTGTTCTTGTTGCCCATGGCGGCGGGGCCCCGGCTAGCGCGATGGCATGGCTATCTGCAACGCGAGCGCATCTTATCGCGGGACGCACTGATAAGAGCTGGGACCGCAAGCGGGGACCGGGGTGTGGGGCTTACGTGATGGAGGGGCGATGGGGCGCGTTTACATTGTTTTTGCGCCGAACTGGGAGGCAGGGGCTTCGCGATGCATTGCGATGCTCGGATGAGAACTGTCAATTTTTGAAGGATGTTTGCAGGTTGGGCTGTAAGTTGCAACGGCGCCGGGGTTGCACGGGTTGCAAGGGGCTTTTTTCGGTTGAAAGAGGCTTGGAAAGGGGGCTGCACGCGCGGGGAGAGGACAGGCGGGGGTTTCGACGCGGAATTGACGCGATAAATGGAAAAAAACATACCTGGATGGGAAAAATTGGTTATGAATTGGCACGCAGGGCCGCCAACACATTCAATTACATATATGACTTTTCATAATCAAATGATAATTAAAATAAAATAAAATATCTCTCTTTAAATACAACTTTTTTTATTGATGTGGGGCAGTGAAGCAACCTTTTTACGGTTATTGTGACGAGAAAATTTAATAATGTTGATAAAAAGTCATCACCACCTAGTAGTTTTTGTGCCATGCGACTGGCAGAACATCATCCACTAAAAAAATCACCAATTTTACGTCAATTTTATGCAACCAATTATACTGGAAGCAATTATGTTTTCATTCTAATGTATCTATTTTTACTTTCTGATCAACTTCCTATTCAAAAATGCTCATTTTAACGTAAAATTATAATTTCTTCCACAAAAAAATATTGAAAAAAACAGGGTATCGGTTATGCTTCACAGGCGAACCGAGCCAAATACTATAATTTTACCTTCCGATGCTCAAACTCCAAATTAATTCTGTTTTGATTGTTTCAGTCTTCTCATTCAGTTGAGGACTAGGGGATTTTTTGATGGGCGCTTTCTATGGAATAATGTTTTTAGGTTGTGTTCTACAAAGTTGCAAAAACATGCCGAATTTAAAAAATATAACAAAGTTTTTTGTGTATTTAGTTCTACAGTGTTAAATAATGTTAAAAAATACAGTAAGAATGTACATACACTCTGAAGAAAACTGGTTACAAATTTTTAATTGTCAACCAGTGGCGTAGTGCAATGTAGTGCAATGGACAATTTTGTTGAATTCTTTACAAACCTTCTCAAAACGTAAACAAATTTTCAACTTTTCACTACTTTCCAGTGTAATTTAGATTAAAAATACTTAAAAAAATTATACTGTTAATTTGTCAAAATAAAAAAGATCTAAAAAAATCAAACTGATGGCCAAAATCACGTCTTTGTTTATAGTTTATAGCTTATAATATGTAAATAGCCGGACGTTTGTTTCCTTATTAATACCTGTCCTTAATCTTTTTTATGTCAGTCACATAAACATCAAGATAAAAAATCCCTAACGAATGACGCACAAGCATCCAACATTATCCCAGATTTGACAGGGTTATTGCAAAGTTAACTAGTTTAAATGAGGTTTCTTTGTTACTAAATTTTGTCTGCGATTTTAATCATTTTTGTTTCTACCGTTTAATCAGAAATAAGTCTATTGGTAGTACTTTTTTTAAAAAAGTGAACTTTTCTTGCGTTTATGTTGGCACAACGGAAGTAATTATGTGAGAGATATGTCAATCGTGACATGCGATAAATTTAGGTTATATTTTGGATACATTTTGCAAATAAAAAATGTCAACAATCTATCAAACTTGACAGCTGATAACCGACAGTTGTAGAAAACATCATATTTTGTCTTTTTTTTCTTAATATACATAGTATTCCTTGAACAACACGATACTCAAAAACATGTGTTTAATTTCTTGTAAACAAATAAGTATTTTGCAGTTAAGCTCCGCCCCCTTGGTTAACGGCGAATAAAAAAATCATCACAATTGAGATAGGGCGGGTGGGCGAGCAGTTTTTTATTGTGCAAAGATGGCTATGTTTATTAAGAAAAAAAAGATAAAACATAAACCCCGCCGCCCACCCGATCTCAATTCTGAAGTTTTTTTTAAATCGTCGAGAGCCAATGGAGCGGAATTTAATTTCAAAATCCTTACATTTTTTTATATAAGAATAAAAAAAATCATCACAATTGAGAGGGGGTGGGTGGGCGGGGTATATATTTTGTGTTTTTGTTCTTAATATATATAGTATTTCTTGACAACACGATACTCAAACACATGTTTTTAATTTCTTGTAAACAAATAAGTATTTTGCAGTTAAGCTCCGCCCCTCGTGGTTCACGGCGAATAAAAAAAATCATCAGAACTGAGATAGGGTGGGTGGGCGGGCTTACATTTCGCCTTTTTGTTTTAATATGTGTCGACCATTTTAACCATGTTCTAAGTTTCTTGTTGTGAAAAGAAAAAAAAAGAGAAATTACCATGTGAAATATGTTCTTAAGTAATCGTGTTATACAAAGAGCAAAAAACCTGAGCAAAGTTGTATCATTTTAAAAGATTTATGTGATGGCAACCTCACATTTTTGTTATTACTTCCGGTATAACCGGAAATGACGTCAACTTTATTTTTTTATGAAACACGAGGTATATTTTCTCATAAATGGAAAGATTGATTTTTCTAAAAAATCAAAAGCGACCAATATGCTAAATTATTCCATAAAATATACGAAAAATTCATATGTATTGATGACAATATAGTAGTTTGAAAAATTGACACTGGTTTTATTTATTCACATAATTATATATTTTCAAAATTATACAAATTTGCTCAAAGAACTATATGTTTATCTTTAAAAATAAAAAAGTTCCAGTGGTTCTATCAATTTTTTTTTATTTTATTTTTTTTATTCTATTTCTAATAATTAATGAGAAATTGAGGAACGCGCGTTTAGTGACACCCTGTATATTTTAAAAAAGAATATTGGTCTCTAAACGTTTTTGAAAAAAAATCAGTTTTGATTAAATGAGTTATGCTATAAATATGAGCCTCTCTGTATATATTTTTTAATTCTTTTACCATTTAACTGATTATGGTCCCAAACATTACTTTTTATTGTGTCGCGTTTTAAAGTAATATTTTGTTATGTCTGTACAAATTTGGAAAAAAACTTAAAAGCTTTGATTTGGTAATAAATAAAACTACCCACATTTTGAAAATTTGCATATTTTTTTTTTGTACATTGAAAAAAAAATGAAACTTTGAAGCTAATAAAAAAAACAAAAAAAGGTTTTCCGTAAATTAATAATAATTATACTGTTTCTCAATTTTTACTTTTCTCTGCGATTTTTCCAAATTTTAAGATTTAACTGAATTATAAATTTCACGAAAGCCTTTTATAATATATTTCCTGATTTTAAAATTCGTCACAGATAATGAAATGTTGGAATTTTCTAAATTTCTTGATTTTTCTGGTCTTCTCAAGAGAATCTGAATTTTTAAAAATTTAATAAGTTCAAAAATGTTTATAATTCTTACAAATTTTTCGAAAAACTGATCTAAAAATGTGAACGATTTAAAAAATTACAAAACAATTCAGTTCAGAAATAGTTGATCAGTATATGATTTCGCAAGAATAGCCTGTAGTTAATTTGTCAAAATTTTGAACTTTAAACACTTCACTGAAGTGTCAAAACAGAATAACACTGGTGACAGATTTAAAAAATCACACTGAATTGTGGCTAAAATCACTGTTTGGCTATAGCTTATAACATGTAAATCCTCTGACGTATTAACCTCTTCAAGCTCAGATATTTATATTTTTTGACAGTGTGACTTTGACTTCTCTTTTTCTTCCCCTGTGTAAGTAACCAACAATGTTATTTCAGTGAAGATTATGCTTCTCACATCTTAACATCTTCCCTTAATAATTTTCTCTTTTTCCTGTCAGTCATGATTTGAAGATTTGACGTTTCAACAACGTACCAAATTTCTTCAGTCATACAAACATGAAAATAAAAAATATCTAACGAATGACGCACAGGCATCCAACATTATTGTAGATTTGACAGGTTTATTGCAAAGTGGACTAAGTTTAAATGAGGCTTCTTGTTACTGAATTTTGTCTACGACTTTAATCATTTTTATTTCTACCGCTTAATCAGAAATTAGTCTGTTGGTCGTACTGTTTAAGTAAAAATTTAACCTTTCTTGCCTTTATGTTGGCACAACGAAAGTAATAATGAAACAGATATGTCAATCGCGACATGTGATAAATTTAGGTTATATTTTGGATACATTTTGCAAATAAAAAATGTCAACAATCTGTCAATCTTGACAGCTGATAACCGAGAGTTGTAGAAAACATCATGATATTCTGTCTTTTTTTTCTTAATATACATAGTATTCCTTGAACAACACGATACTCAAAAACATGTTTTGAATTTCTTGTAAACAAATAAGTATTTTGCAGTTAAGCTCCGCCCCTCGTGGTTCACGGCGAATAAAAAAAATCATCAGAACTGAGATAGGGTGGGTGGGCGGGCTTACATTTCGCCTTTTTGTTTTAATATGTGTCGACCATTTTAACCATGCTCTAAGTTTCTTGTTGTGAAAAGAAAAAAAAAGAGAAATTACCATGTGAAATATGTTCTTAAGTAATCGTGTTATACAAAGATTGATTTTTCATTTTTAAAGTGCTTGATATTTGAATTTTAGATTTTTTTCCATTTTAAAATTTTTAGATTTTCCAATTTTTGATTTTACAGTTATCAGATTTTCCAATTTCTTGATTTTTCAATTTTACGATTTTATTATTTTGCAATTTTCATTTTTACATTTTAATAATTTTTCGTTTTTACGATCATCAAATTTTTCAACTTCATAATTTCACGATTTTTCATTTTTCAAGAGTTTGATATTCGAATTTTAGAATTTTTTCCATTTCAAAATTTTTAGATTTTCCAGTTTCTTGATTTTTCAACTTAATGGAGTTTTAATTTTACGATTTTATAAAATGCAGTTTTCATTTTTACATTTTAATAATTTTTTAATTTTACAATCAAATTTTCCAATTTCATAATTTTATAAATTTTCAATTTTTTTATTTTTTATTTAAATTTTGTATTCAAATTTTTGATTGTTCGGTTTAATTATTTTACAATTTTCCGTCTTTAAAGGTGTCCAAATTTCATTGTTTCGATTTTATAATTTTTTTGATTTTTGAGTTTCATAATTTTGGACTTTTTCAATTTTTATTAGTTCTTGCTAAAACAAGAGTAGTTTTGGCAAATGGCATACCTTCTAAGAAAATAAAGGGTGGGTGGGCTGGGCTAGTTCTTCTAAAATAAGCCTGAATTTGGGAAATGGCGTACCCTTAAAAAAATAGAGGGCGGGTGGGCGGGGTTAG